AAAGAATGCTTTGAACACTCAATTGCATTGGACTATATTGGAAAGAAAGCTGGGGAGCTGGGTGCGATATACTGGAATATATAAAATCATTTCTACAGAGCTACAGTTTTCTCATCCCTTGCATCGATGTCTACAAATCTCGATCTCAGTACAACCGACCCTTCATTCAGCGCCAGCGCGGTTACCTTAGGTGGAGATCTCCCAGCCCAGCTCCCGAACCCCGCCAACCCCAAACCCCGCCCCTTCTCGGGTCGCGCGCAGCTATGAGCTTCAAACTACATCTCCCATAAAGCCGCGCGAAGACAGCGGACTATTGCCGGAAGTGAGGAAGCTGCATCCGGCGCCGGAAAAAGTGAGAGTGGGATTTCCCCAGTCTTCCGACGGGTCCTGGTTACCTCTGCTGTGGTCACTTTTGGGTTAGTAGAAGCAGCGGCGAGTTAGTTGCCCCGACTGTCCCTTCTGGAGCGGTGACCAGTTCCCTGGGCTCCTGGTCTCCGCGCCGCCCTGCGCGTCCCTGCTGGGTCATGCAGTGCAGCCTTTTGCTGCGTCGATGGGCGCAGGCGCTGGAGCCGCGGACCAGCTTGCTGGGGATCCCCGGACTGGGAGGGAGCTCAGGCGGTCCTGTGGCTGGTGGAGTTTCCAGTCCAAGCTTTGCAATGGGGAAAAGGAATAGCTACTTAAGGTGTGATTTCACTTTGAAAGAAGGAATTTCACAGTAGTGGCAAGAAAGTAAAATATCTCAAGGCATTTGACTGTTTACAGAGACTGCGCAGGGGTTGCGCTTAATTGGTTAAATGGTCTTCTTGAGTGTCCAGGGGCTGGAATTTGTTAAGTGATGACCAGTGACATCAATGACAGCCATATTTGAGGTCCTGCCTGTCCACTCTATCCATGTGACCGTAGGCAAGTCATGGGCCCCGGTTCACACATCAGTAAAAGTGGATGTTGATTTGGTTAAAATCTCAATCCCTTTAAACCTAGCGTTCTTTTAAATGACCTCTTAGAATAGTCTGTGCGCTTCATGGAATGCAGGGGCAGCACTTTATCCTGCCTTTAAATCCTCAATTTCCACAGGGCCTGTCATGACAAATGAAAGTAAATCAAGCAGTAGAGCTGGATCTTAGACTTTCTGTGCTTCTCCGGAATGACTAATGATACTATTTCTAGATGACTTTTCTGCTGAGAAACCTAAACGGCAAAGTGTATATTTTCCACTTCCTTTCTCCACGAAATACTGTATGCATAAGCATTGCACTGGCCGTAGTGAAGTACATTGTATTTTTAAAGGACAATTTTGCAATTACCTGAGGTGCCCTGTAGAAGGATGAGGTGACCATGACCTCAGAACGTGGGGCAGTAAAATATTGTTCAAAGTAAACCTAACTGGAAAAACTATGTAATATGAGTTTATGGAAAATAAACTTAAGAGAAAGACAATTTGGAAAGGAGACCAATACACAAGTCTGTCCAGCAGTGCTTCAAAATAAGGTCTTGAAAAGTTATAGCTATTGTTATTCATAATGTTTTTTACAATTTCCTTTTTTATTTTTAATTTTTATGGGTACATAATAGTTGTATATCTTTATAGGGTATATATAATGTTTTGACATAGGCATATAATGTGAGAAAATCAAATCAGGGTGATCGGAGTATCCGTCACCTCAGGTATTTAATGTTTTTTTGTGTTAGGAGCATTCCAATTCCACTCTTTTAGTTATTTTAAAGTATATCCTAATTTGTTGATTATAGTCAATTTGTTGTCCTATCAAATATTGTTCATTCTCTCTAACTATATTTTTGCACCCATTCACCATTCCCATTTTATCTCCCTCTCGCCATTACCCTTCCCACCCTCTGGTAACCATGAGATAAATTGTTTTTAATATTTAGTCCCACATATGAATAAGTAAGATTTTTCTTTCTGTGCTTGGCTTATTTCACTTACCATAATATTCTCCAGTTCCATCCATGTTGTTGCAAATGGCAGAATTTTTTTGGCTATATAATATTCAGTTGTGTATATGTACCACATTTTTTTTTATCCCTTTATCCATTAATGGATTCTTAGGTTGACTCCACATCTGGGCTATTGTGAATAGTGCTGCAGTAAACATGGGAGTGCAGATATCTTTTCAATACATTGAATTCCTCTCCTTTGTGTATATACCCAGTATTGGATTTGTTGGTTCTTTTGTTGTTTTTTTTTTCGTTTTTTTGGGGACCTTTTTTCTTGTTTTCCCCGTTGTTTGCCTTATTTTTCTTTCCCCCCATTGTTTTTTAGGGGTTCCCTTTTTTTTCCTTCTTCTTCGGCTTTTTTTTTTGCTTTTTTTAAAAAAGCCATTTTAACTGGAGTGTGATGATATTTCATTGTAGTTTTGATTTGCATTTCTCTGTTGACTAATGAAGTTGAGCATTTTTTTATATACCTATTGGCCATTTGTATGTCTTCTTTTGAAAATGTCTATTGCCCATTTCCATTTTTTAATTAGATTATTTGATTTTTTTCTATTGAGTTGTTGGAGTTCCTTATATATTCTACTTATTAATCGCTTCTCAGATCAATAGTTTCACATATATTCTCCCATTCTGTGGATTGTCTTTTCACTTTGTGGATTGTTTCCTTTGATGTGCAGAAGCATTTTAGCTTGATGTAATCCCATTTGTCCAATTTTGCTTTGGTTGTCTGTGCTTTGGAGATATTACTTAGGAAGTCCTTGCCCAGAACAACGTTCTGAAACATTTCTCCAGTGTTTTCTTTTAGTAGTTTCATAGTTTCAGGTCTTAGATGTAAGTCTTTAATGCATTTTGATCTGATTTTTATATGTGGTGAGAGATAAAAGTCTAGTTTCATTCTTCGGCATATGGATATCCACTTTTCTCAGCACCATTTATTGAAGAAACTGTCCTTACCCCACTGTATGTTCTTGACACCTTTGTCAGGGAGAAATTCACTGTAGATGTGTGGATTTATTTCTGGGTTCTCTATTCTGTTCCACTGGTCTATGTGTCTATTTTTATGCCAGTACCGTGCTATTTTGGTTACTACTATAGCTCCGTAGTATAATTTGAACTCAGATAATGTGATTCCTTCAGTTTTGTACATTTTTCTCAGGATGACTTTGTCTATGCTGGGTCTTTTGTGGTTCCATATAAATTTTACGATTGCCCTTTTAATTCTGTTTCTGTGAAGAATGTCGTTGGTATTTTGATTGGGATTGCATTGAATCTGTAGATTGCATTGGGGAGTATGGACATTTTAACAATGTTGATTCTTCCAATCCATCTTTCCATGGTTTATGTGTCCTCTTCAATTTCTTTCATCAATGTTTTATAGTTTTTATTATAGAGATCTTTCACTTCTTTGGTTAAGTATATTCCTAGATATTTAATTTTATTTGCAGCTATTGTAAATGGAATTACTTTCTTGGTTTCTTTTTCAGATGCCAATAAATTTACTGTTAGCATGTAGAAGTGCTACTGATTTTTGTATGTTGGTTTTTGGATTCTGCTACTTTACTGAATCTGTTTTTCAGTTCTAATAGTTTTTTGTAGAGTCTTTAAGTTTCTCTAGATGTTAAGATCATATCGTCTGCAAATAAGGGTAGTTTGACTTCTTCCTTTCCAATTTTTATGTCCTTTATTTCTTTCTCTTGTCGGATTGCTCTAGCTAGAACTTTCCAGTACTATGTTGCATAACAGTGGTGAAAGTGGGCATCCTTGTCATGTTCCAGATCTTTGAGGAAAGGCTTTTAGTTATTCCCCATCCAGTATGGTACTAGCTTTGGGTCTGTCATATATAGCTTTTATCTTGTTGAGGTAAGTTCCTTCTATAACCAATTTTTTTAGTGTTTTTTTCATGAAGGAATGTTAAGTTTAATCCAATTTTATTGAATGCTTTTTCAGCATCATTTGAAGTGATCATATGATTTTTTTTTCCCTCCGTTCTGTTGATATAATGTAGGACGTTGATTGATTTGCATATATCAAACCATCCTTGCATCCCTGGGATGAATCCCACTTTATCATGATGAATAATCTTTTTAATGTGTTGTTCAATTCAGTTTGCTAGTATTTTGTTGAGAATTTTTACATCTGCGTTCATCAGAGATATTTCCCTGTAGTTTTCTTTTTTTGTTGTATCTTTGTCTGGGTTTGGTATCAGGGTGATACAGGCCTTGTAGAATGAGTTTGGGAGTATTCCCTCCTCCTCGAATTTTTGGAATACTTTAAGTAGGATTGGTATTCATTCTTTTTTGAAAGAATGCTTGATAAAATTCAGCAATGAAGCCATCAGTTCCCAGGCTTTTCTTTAATGAGACACTTCCAGATTTCTTCCTGGTTCAATCTTGGTAGGTTGTATGTGTCTAGGAATTTATCCATTTCTTCTAGGTTTTTCAATTTGTTGGCATATAGTTGCTAATCACAGTCTATAATGATCCTTTGGATTTCTGCAGTATCAGTTGTAATCTCTCCATTTTCATCTCTTATTTATTTGGCTCTTCTCTCTTTTTTTCTTAGTCTGGCTAATAATGTATCTATTTTGTTTATCCTCTTATAAAACCATTTTTTATTTTATTAATCATTTGTATTTTTTTGTTTTCAATTTCATTTATTTCTGCCCTGATCTTTATTATTTCTTCTTCTAATTTTGGTTTGGTTTGCTCTTGTTTTTCCTCGTTCTTTGAGATGCATCATTAGGTTGTTTATTTGAAACTTTTCTACTTTTTTGATATAGGCACTCATTGCTATAAACTTTCTTCTTATTACTGCATTTGCTGTAACCCATAGGTTTTGATATGCTGCATTTTCACTTTCATTTTCATTCGTTTTTAGAAATTTTTCAATTTCCTTCTTAATCTCTTCGTTGACCCATTAGTCATTCAGGAGCATATTATTTAATTTCCATATGTTGTTATACTTTGCAGTATACCTCTTGTTATTGATTTCTAGTTTTATTCCATTGTTTTCAGAGAAAATACTTGATATGATTTCAATTTTTTTTTTTAACACTTGTTTTGTGACCTAACTTATGGTCTATCCTTGAGAATTATCTATGAGTTGGAGAAGAAAGTGTATTCTGCAGCTATTGGATGAAACATTCTGTAAATATTAGGTCCATTTGGTCTATAGTGCAGGTTAAGTCCAATGTTTCTTTATTGATTTTCTGTCTGGGTAATCTCTCCAATGCCAAAAGTGGAATGTTGAGGTCTCCATCAATTACTGTGTTGGAGTCAATCTGTCTTTAGCTTATAATATTTGCTTTGTATAGCTGGGTGCTCCAGGGTTGGATACAT